CACCAGGAGGCAGCATACGACACAGATAATGGTTTGGGCCGCTGACACCGCAGGAAGGCGCTCTCTAATCGATCCTGACGCCAAGGTAAATCCGCAATTTTGGAGGTTGCTTTGACAGCCCATAGACGTTTCAACAGAGCGCTACACCGAGAATGACAGAAAAAGAGCGTTCCGAACTTCATAACGTCTACAAAATGGCTCTCGAATTCACTAGACGCTGATCCGATGGATTATGCTCTTTGGGCCGTTTTGGAGAGCAAGGTCCGAACTAAAAAATACACTACATTTGTCGAATACGGTCAGATCAGACCATAGTAATATACATATGTACCGGCGATATTTTCAGATATGATATTTCGAGTCAAAAATGAAAAGCTAGCACCTTATTTTGATATCTCTACGATGCCAGCTAACTTATGTAATTTCGGTTTTCGATCAATCAAGAGATCAATCAAGAGGTTTTTAATGAATTTGTTTAATGTTTTCAGGTGACACCAACTAATTTCGATGCCCGCATCGCTGGGTCTTTCATTTTGCGTAAAGATCTTGCCGCATACCCTTACAAATTCAAGCTAACTCAAAAGCTTAAAGTCACTTGAACATGTGAAGCGTCGTATGTTATAAAATTGGGCTCTGGACATGAATGAAGACTTTCATCGCAAAATCATCTTCAGCTACAGCTTCGGGAATCAGCAAAATATGCATTGCTGGGCCGGTGAGAACCCTCTTGTGTTTAATGAAACATCTCTTCATCTGCAAAAAATCTATGGTTGGCGGGGATTTCATGGCGATGGTGTCATTGGTCATTTGTTTTTTTTTTTCGATGTAAATGACCGTCACGTTACGGTGAATGGTATTCGGTACAGAGCCATGTAGGAACATATGTTTTTTTTTTTCTAAATTGCATGAATTCAATGAATGCAATACTTGGTTTCAACAAGACCGTGCCAAAAGCCACACATTGGGAGTAACAATCGAGTTATTGAACTCTCAGCACGGTGAACGTGTAATATCTAGAGACGGGCGCGTCGATTGGCTCCCGAGATCGTGTAATTTAACGCCTCTAGACTTTTTTTTATGAGGCTACACTAATTCATTGGTCTATGCCAACAAGCTGGCCGGCGTTAGAAGAGCTCAGAGTCAATATTGAGCGAGAAAAAGCAGCTATATCTGTCGAAATGTGGCGCCGAGTCATCAAAATTTGGGTTCAACGAATCCACCGCACCAGACGTGCGCGTGGTGCACATTTAAACAAAGCCAAATTCCATTCGTAAATAATTTGATATTATTTGATGACAATAAAATAATTTTTTGAGATATCTCACGTAGTTTGCGTTCTTTGTATACATATATATTATTTGCTTAGTCTCACTAAGTAATCTACCGAGACAATACGAGACTGTACCCTCAGTTTTTGATACTTGAAAAGTTGATTTTTGAAATAAATATCATATACTGTATTTATAAAATACTTTTCACCTAGACATTCTTCTGTTTAAAAAAATTAAGGATGCATTCCTCGTTATTTAAATCAAAAGAGACCTTTCGCGACTCTTCTCCGAAGTCGATCCTAAAGGGCATTATTTATCTGGTCTGATAATTTTTTTTTTTTAGTTTGTTTACAAATTTAATTTGCGTATCCATCCTTCAATACATATTAAGCATGTGTATGGAACAATAAAACAATTCTTGGAAACAATTTTTGGTCCTTGCATTTGTAATAAAAACTTATGACACAAATTCGCAGTACAATGTTGTGTTACTCAAAAAGGGCCTTAAACGCTACTTACCTAAATGGTACTTAACTAATCCAGGCCACTTTTCTAGACATTCATTGTGACAGTGAAGAAAAAGGGACACCAAAACAGGGACAAGGGACACATGAACAGTAGGCGTCAATATAAATTACGATATATAATAAAAACAAAAGATAAAATAAAATAAATTAGAATAAAAAGAAAAAATAAACATAAAGCCAAAATAGGTAAAAAATAAGAAAACGATATTTAAAATTAAATAATATATTGAACAATTAAAAAAAAGAATAACAAATAAATTAAAATAGAATGAATAAAAATCAAATAATTAAAATAAAAATATAAAATAAAAGTAAAATAAAATGAATATTAAATAAATTAATTAAAGTCAAATTAATAAAAAAATACAAAAAAGAAATTATTTGATATAAAAATGAAATTAAATTTATGGTACATATTAAATGAAATCATATAAAACAGTTTCAACTGAAATAAAATAAAAGAAAAATAAAAAAATTGATTAAACTAACCAAAAAATTTTTAAAATAAGATAAAACAAATAGGTTTAAAAATATAACTAAATTAAATTTAAAACAAAAAATAAGTAAAAAAAAACTATAATTAAATAAAATTAAATTAAATTATATAAAAATAAATAAAATATAGTAAATAAAGAATTTACATCAAAAATAATACAAATATAATGGAACAAAATTAAAGAAAATTAAAGTAAATCCAAATAAAATAAAAAATAAAGCAAATTAAAATAAAATTAAAAAACAAAACTAAATAAAAGAAAGTAAGTAAAATAATAAAAAAAAAAATAAAAAAAAATAATAGGATAAAAGCAAAATAAAATAAAATGGAATTAAATAAGATAAAAAAAAATAAAATAAGTAAAATAAAATAAAATGAAATAAAATAAAATAAAATAAAATAAAATAAAATAAAATAAAATAAAATAAAACCAAAATAAATTAGCATGAAATAATTTAAAATGAAAAGAAAAAAATTAAATAAAGTTAAATGTAATAAGATAAAACACAATAAAACAAAACCAAATGAACGAAAGAAAAATAAACCAAACTAAAATAATATGAAATAAAGCAAAATAAATTAAAGTATATTAAAATATTAAACAAAATAAACGAAACTGAGTTAAAATATTATAAAACAAAAACGTAAAGAAACAAAATAAATAAATTAATATAAAATAAATATACGAAAAGAAAAACAAAATAAAATATTATAAAGCAATTAAAAAATAAATAAAGAATATATTTAAAGAAATAAAAAGAAACAAAATAAAAAAATTAAACAGAGTAAATATACTCGTGAATAAAGTAAATTAAAGTACAACAAAATTACGTATATAAAATTAAAAAAATAAATAAATTAAATAAAAATGAACAAATTAAAACATATAAGAATTTAAATAAATATAAAAAAACAAAACAAAATAAAATATTATAAAGCAATTAAAAAATAAATAAAGAATATATTTAAAGAAATAAAATGAAACAAAATAAAAAAATTAAACAGAGTAAATATACTCGTGAATAAAGTAAATTAAAGTACAACAAAATTACTTATATAAAATTAAAAAAATAAATTAATTAAATAAAAATGAACAAATTAAAACAAATAAGAATTTAAATAAATATAAGTAAAGAAAAGAAATAAAGCAAAAAATACAAAATTGAATAAATTCAAATAAACAAAAAAATAATTTAACAATATTAAACAAAATGTAAAACTAAAATGGAACAAAAAATGTATTAAAAGAATTTACATAAAAATAAATTAAAACAGAATAATATAAACTAAAATAAAATAGAATAAAAACATAAAATACAACAAAATTAATTAGAGTAAGTTAAGCAACAATAAACTAAAATAAAATAAAAAAATTAACAAAAAGAAATAAAATAGTTAATTAAAACAAAATAAACTTATATACAAGTAACGAAAGTGAAATAATAAGGAAATAAAATAAAATAAAAAATAAATTAATTAAATGAAAAAGAAGTAAAATAAAAAAAATAAAGTAAAGTACATAATCCAAAATAAAATGAGATAAAGTAAAATTGATAATATAAAATAAAATAAAACTAAATAAAATAAAGCAAACTATATTGAACAAAATATAATAAAATAAAATGAAATAAATGAAAGCAAAATAAAATGAACTAATATAAAACAAATTTAAATAAATTGAAATTATATAAAACTAAATAAAATAATAAATAAATAAAATAATAATAAATAATGAAATAAATTAATTTAAAAAGGAAATGAAAGAAATTAAATAAAGTAATTAAAAAAATATTATAAAAAAAAAATAACTAAATAAACTCAAACAAAATTACGTACAATAAATGTAAATAAATTAAAAATAAAGGAAAAATTAAATCAAATAATAAAAAAATAAATAAAAATTAACGAAAAAAATTTACTGAAGTAAAATATATTTTAAATTTAAATAAAATTATAAATCAAAGAGAGTTTCCGAACTACGTAAAAACACAGTTCTTAGGCAAATAACAAGGAAAACGAGAGCAAGCTAATAATCGTAAGTAAAAATTGCTCAATCATTCCAATTTTACACATTTTTTTTCTTGAGTTACAAAACTCACGGGAGATAATTTATACATAATAATTTCAATACTTCTTTGAATCAAGGAAAATATATTTAAATACATAAATACAAAAATACATATGTACATTTGTATGTCAACAAGCAAAACTGTTTCTTTTATTCTGCATATCAGCAAATTTCATTCTCGCTCTGAGCAAAATTTTGTGTGACTTAACTCGATCGGTTTCATTGAGAATGGATATGAGAACGAACTGGTAAATTTGAGTTTTATTACGTTGATAAACATGTACATATGTATGTATGTATGTATGTATGCATACAAGTAAACGGAAATAAAGGGAGAATATAAAATTCTGAATTCTGAAGCATGTATTTTACGTAGCGGAGAAGAGTTTTATGAATATTTATGGTAATTACAAACCAATTTTTTCTCTGCATTTCTTCTCTCAAATCAAAACCACACAGTTGAAATTTATACCAAATGTTTGTGCGTGAATATACATGTATATATGTTTGTGCATATATGTATGTACATATGTGTATATACATTTGTTATACATTGGAGAGCTCAAAACACGCTACACGCAGGTATAGTTTAAGGGCAGTCGTAAATAATTGAATGGTTTAAAGGATCTCTTTTAAATAATTAAACTACGCGTATATTGAAAAAGGGTGAAGGTTAAATGAATATTTGGGTTACGCAAAATAATTCGTAAAAACATGGCCTAACCTCAACTAGCATAGCGTAACTACCTGAATTGTGCTCGCTACATTATTATATTTGGTATAAAATGAGAGCGCGGAGAGCGGTAATAACAGTCAGTGCTGACATTGCATAGTGTGAACATTAAAATCTAAAGTGAGTGCTCAACAAGAAAGAAAGAAGAAAAAAAAGAAAAAATAGTAAAAAAAAAATAAGTAAAAACGCCAATAAAACAAATAATATGACCGGTACTAGAGTTTATGTCGGTGGTTTGCCGTATGGCGTACGTGAAAAAGATTTGGAACGTTTCTTCAAAGGCTTTGGCTATATACGAGATGTTTTATTAAAAAATGGTTACGGCTTTGTAGAGTTTGAAGACTCTCGTGATGCAGATGATGCCGTTTATGAAATGAATGGCAAAGACTGGATGGGACGCAGAATAGCTGTGGAAATTGCAAAGAGTACAAGTCGTGGTGGTGGTGGTGGTGGCGGTCGCCGTGATCGTTATGATGGCGGGCGTCGTGATGATTACCAAGATAGACGCAGAAATACACGTTTTGGTCCACCAAAACGCACCGAACATCGTTTGATAGTTGAAAATTTATCGAGTAGCGTCAGCTGGCAAGATCTTAAAGACTATGTGCGTAAAGCCGGTGAGGTGACTTATTGTGATGCACACAAACAGCGTCGCAATGAAGGCGTTGTCGAATTCGCCACATCATCCGACATGAGGCGTGCATTGGAAGAGTTGGACGACACCGATTTGAATGGTCGTCGTATACGTTTGGTTGAAGATCGTAGTGGCGGAAGAGGTGGACGCGATCGTTCGCGCTCACGTTCTGTTTCTCGGCGGCGTTCACGCTCGAAATCAGCACGCTCGTCACGTTCCCGCTCAAAGGATCGTAGTCGTTCGAAATCACGTGGCCGACGTTCGGTATCGAAATCGCCTGTAAAATCGCGCTCACGTTCACGCTCGCCAGCAAAGAAATCACGTGATGTTAGTAAATCAAGATCACATTCACGTTCCCGCTCTAGATCTCAACGTTCTCGCCGCGACGACTCACGCAAATCGTCACCGGTTAAGGCACGTGAAGATTCACGTTCTCCGAAACGTTCACGTCGCGATGATTCCCGTGAACGCTCACGTTCAAAGTCACGTAGTGTTTCCCGCAAGCGTTCACCATCACAAACGCGTCACGATTCCCGTTCGCCGTCTAAGCTGCGAAATAAATCACGCAAACGCTCATCACGTGACGAATCTCGTGAACGTTCCAGATCACGTCGTTCATCTCGTTCTCATCATGATTCACGTTCACGCTCCCGATCACGTGGTGATTCACGAGCCCGTTCCAGCAATCGTTCACGTTCCGCTTCTCCAGCAAATTAATAATAAATATGTACATATGTACTAGCTTAGCCAGGATGAATGGATAAATGATTTGGAAATGGATTAACGGGCCTTAGATATGAAAATTGTCATGAAAAATGTTAGCAACAAGCATTTGAGTTTTATGAAATGTAATAAATACACGACCAAAAAATTAATAAATAAAAAATGTTTTGTAAAATTTAGATTTTGAATTGCTCTTAGTCGCGTTTCTTCAGTTTGTTCAGTCTGCGAATCAGCTGAATGCAATGGGAGCTTCCTTAAAGTTACCCTATTGAACAAATATATCATATCATTTGGAAATTTATATATGTAAGGCAGATACAGTCGTATCTCCATTGATAAGAAATTTTATAGCAAAGACAAAATTTGTTAAAATAATTAATTAATTCAGTTTATTTTATTTTATCATAATTTACTTTATTATATAAAATTATAGATTACTCTATTTTAATTTAATAGATTGTATTTTATTTCATATAATTTTCATTTGTCTTATTTTGAATTAATAAATTTATTATATTTTATTGTATTTGTTTCTTGACTTTATTTTATATTTTATCTTATCATATTTTGTTTAATTTTGCATATTTTATTTTATATCTTTTATACTATTTAATTGTGCATTTATTTTTTCTTTATGAATTTTTTAATATAATTTTTTATATATTAGCTAATTTGTTTTTTTTCTGCACATTTAATTTAATTTTATATTTTTTTTTTGTTTTACATGTGCATACACATATATTTTTTATTTCCATTTAAAATATTTGTTTTATATATTATTTCATTGCTTATTTCTTCCATTACAGTTTAATGACTTACTTAAATTACATTTCAATACACTATATGTTTTTAAATTTTTTAATTGAATTTTATTATTTTTAATAATAATTTAATTAGTTTTTATTTAATTTAATTATATATGATTAACTATTATTATTCATTTTTTAAATTTATTTATATTTAATATTTTTAAATAAATTAATTTTTTTTATTTGTATGAAATAATTTTTCAAATGTATCTAATATGTACTAGTTGTCATATACATATGTATATGCATCATACATTTATTTTACCAGCAGTTGGCATTTTACCCACCCTATATTTGTGAGTGCGAAACATGGATTGTAGGAAAAGTAAAAAATTGAAAACAGCGCCAATATTCTTATTCAGCAGCAATATATTTTGTTTAGCGCTATCTTGAAGGCTACTGAACTCATACAATAAAATTTGAGTACCTGGAAAAGAAACATATCCCCATATATACATACTGACATATAAATGTACTCATATATAAGAGAGTTAAATAGTTTAAAATATGAGCACTACTACTACTATTAGGCTCTCACTTTTAAATTCAGCGTACCCTGAAAGCATGACAAAAAAGGGAAAGCCTCAAATGTATATACATCCATATGTAGATAATTTGCTCTCATGGTTACCGACAACAGAGCAGCATAAATTCGCATTGTGACTATCGTGCTCTCCTTTTCAATTTTTCGTTCGCTGATACGTTTTCTCAAGCTGATTTCTGGGTGACAACCAACAACTAACCCTACAACCGTACAAATGTACTCATTGATGTATGTCTGTTAAACTAAAACCGCTCACTCCCTTCAAAGATCGATTGTAGACTCTCGTTCTCTTTCAAATATGCACAATTACACATCCATACATATGTTATACACAGTGCGAACAGACGTTTAGCACATTTACAATTAATAACGAAAATAATATTTATTTTATGGAACATTCTCCCTTAGCACCGTGTATGCGAATCTCCATTAATTCTCTTTTATTTTATCTGCTATTATTTAAAATTCAAAATTACACTCGTAACATCCCAGCAGCAAATGGCAAGCTCTTGGAAGCGAATATGTGGTGAGTGGAAACTGTGTGATGCCTGAATTCATTTGGGAAAAGTAACACGATGTTTTAGCTTAGGAGCAGGCAAGATCTGTCGAAGTCATCGAACGAGAGGCCAAAAAATGAGCTGTTTCGACGGCCTGGGACCATAGCGAATAGGGGGTTAAATTAGTAGTTTTTTAACCTTCAAGCGGTCGCGCGGCGTCGGTTCGGCCGTATGATTTTGTTCATAATTATATTGTTGAGTTATGTTATTATTTGATTTAATAATTGCCTTTTTCCAGAATTTAAGTTACTTTTTTTCGACTTTTTTGACTTTAAACACAATGATAATATATTTAAATACAACAAAATAAACCATTATTAGTCAATTAGTATTTTTTCTCTAAAATATCCGACAGGTCTTTTCGATTATGCGCGACCGCTTGAGGGTTAACAGATATGCAAAGAGGTGTTGAGTAAAAAACTTTTGTAACAATATTGAGAGTTAAACACAATTCTTGCTTGCTCAAATGACCAAATACGACTGAAATTCAAATAATCACCATGTGCTTTCTGGAACGAAACAACACAAAGATTGCGGTTAATTTTTTTTTGTTTCTTGCGAGAGCTTGTGTTTGCTTTTGCTTCTCTCTTGCTTCCAAAAGACAAGATTGTGGTATATGAATTTTGTTCGAGTAAACAGTAGAGTTGAAATGTCAAAGACGATATTCGCTCAATATATTTGGTTTGTGTAATTTGCGGGAGAGATATTTAGCCGAACTACACCTAATTTATATGTATGTATATATGCGAACGCCCCCAATAAGATTGAGTGAATTATACTAGTTTGCAACCATGTGGACATGACTCATGTATAAAACGATATACTAGAAATGGTACATACATATGTACATCAGCAATATTCGGCATTTTGATTAGGTTTTCGTTCTCTGCTCCGTTACAGTCGTAGTTAGGTATTCTGAGTTACGATCGAATCGAAAGACGAAGTGGAAGCGGGAAGACATTTTCGAAATCAGCTGCTTGCATGTGAATTTGTGTAATTGAAAAAAAAAAACACTTTTATCGTTCTTCTTTGTTGTATAACAAAATATTCCGCAATTGGCCGCAAAAAAACAATTATGAAAAAAAAACTATTTGATTACAAATTGATTTTGCATAAATATAAATAAAATCTCTTATATTCAAAAAATTTATTTAAACAAAAATTTTGAATTACAATTTTTATTTAATCAAAATAATTTAGTACATTTTACAGCGTTCACAAATAAATAATTCTTCAATATGAAAATTCAGTATTCATTTCACACATACAAAAAAGCAATAATAAAAAAGAAACAATATACAAAAATTAATTATGTTGAGGTTGGTAATTTTTGAGCAGCATTTGCAGCTTAATCTCAATTTTCTCTATAGACAACTCCTCTTTTATCTGGTTGTGTATTTTCTGCACCTGTAGTGGCTTAGCTGCAGTATCTGTCATGCTCTCCAAAGTGCGATTCATGCCTTGCTAATAGGTGACGCTTTCTTCCATTTTCTTGGACGCAACTTCATTACCTTTTCTGCTTCATAAGTCCGCGTTTTCACGGCGATACTTTATGCCGACGAAGCACTCATTTTTAGGGGAGAGGGCGACGTTTCTATTCGTCTCTGTAGATTTTGACATTCCTTTTTTTTTTGTTTCTCACTTGGAACGGATTGTAGCTGTCGTAAATTTGAAAATTAATTTTGGAATTTTTAGTACGAAAATTACATATTGTTTAGGCGAGTGCCTAATATTATATATAGTAACACAATAAACATATTTACTTATTTTTAAGAAACTCCCATTTATTTTTAATAAAAATGACTGTTAAATGGGTGTCCGATTCACGGATTTTTGTCGTCAGTTCATTAAAAAAAGTGAATAGAGAAACACGAATTATCTTGCAAATGTGACTTTAACAAAAAATATTTATGAAAATAGGAACTTTTAGTAGATTTACAGTAATTAAAGATCCTGAATGCTTTGGCATAATTATAAAAGTAATAAAAAAAGTTAATCGCCCCGTAAATAGCTTATTTACCCTATTATCAAATGTTTCCAATTTCCCCACAAACCCACTAAAAACGCCTCTGTGATGGATATGTGATCCTTTCATAATTTCATGATGATACTTATGAATGGCGTCGAAGCCGAAGCAATTGACAGTGAAATTGAAAATGTCGATGGAATTTTTACGTGTCACCAACGAATAAGAGTTTTGCAAATACAATTCCATTGCATTCATAATATTTTCTTTTATTGGATGATTTTTGAGTATTTCCTACTACACACATCCATACCACTCGTGCACTATGCATTCTCATTCTTTTTCGCTTTAACTTTGAATTTTTTATTGGCATTGTTGTGTGAAATTGAAAAATGTTTTGAAAAGGCAAAAATATGTAAAATATTAGAAATTCATAAATGCGTTGCTAGAAATGCAATAAGCTTTGAACGCGCACACACAGTTGTATGTATGTAAGTACATACATACATACATTTATTTATGCATTGTAAAAAATATTTATATAAGCGCATGCTTGATGATAAGTTCGTCAAACAGTTAGGCTGCCTGGCAATCATTCTGCTTTTTGGTGTTTTTTCTTTTCCTTTTGTTAGACAAGCAGCAAGCAGTCAGTCAACGAGGCACTCAGGCGGTCTGCGAGGCACTCAAGTATGCACAAAGATGGTGGCGGAAAACTATGGTAAATCCTTTAGTATGCATTACTTTTTACGAATTTATTGCATTTGTTGTTGTTGTAGCTCATGCAGTATCAAATGAATTCCATATGAAAAATTGTAAAGCTTTTTGTTAGATGATTGCGCTCAGTGGAATACATACGTACATATAAATATTTAGAGAAAACAGTATTTGTGCTGAAAACTATTCACGCATGAGCATTTTAAATTGTTATTGGAAAAGGGCTTAGACCGATTTGATCTGGTTAAACAATGCTTCTAAAAATATGGAATATACTAAAATGCTGCGGTAAAAAATAGAGTAACAAAATAAAATTACAATAACAAAGCAAAAAATAATATTAAAATATTGTAAGAAAATCAAGATAAAATAATACAATAAAATGCAAAGAAATAAAATAAAATAAAATAAGTTAAAATAAGATAAAACACAATAAAATAAAATGAAAAAAAAAATTAATAAAATAAAATAAAATAAAATAAAATAAAATAAAATAAAATAAAATAAAATAAAATAAAATAAAATAAAATAAAATAAATAAAATAAAAATAAATAAAATAAAATAAAATAAAATAAAATAAAATAAAATAAAATAAAATAAAATAAAATTATATAATAAAAAATAAAATAAAATAAAATAAAATAAAATAAAATTATATAATATAAAATAAAATAAAATAAAATATAATAAAATAAAATTAAATGAAATTAAAGAAAATAAAATAAAATTAAAAATGAAAATAGTTACATAAGATAAAACAATATTTTTGAAATCAAAAAGTAAGTAGAAAAATAAATAATAAACAAAAAAAAAAAACTAAAGAAATAAATAAAATAAAATTTCATTTAGATAAAATAGTGTTTAAATAATATAATATAAAATATAGTAAACGAAAATATAACAAATTATGGAAAAATTAAACAAAAAACTAAAATGAATTAAGAACGATGACGCGACTAATAAATTTGGGCAGTGGTTCCTCATTATTCCCGCCTTGCTGGGGAGCGCTGAGACGTGGATGATGCGTACATATGAGGGGCTGGCTTTGGGAAACTTCGAGAGAAAAGTTTTGCGAACGTACATGTATTATGGTCCCTTTTTGTCAAGGCAACAGTGACTCCGCAAACGACGTAACGATGAGCAGTACAAGGTGTGGGGTGACATATGTCGTCCGAGTAAATGGAATGGGAGTCAGTTTTGAAAGCTTTCAATATAGTACATGCTGTTGGAAGCAGAGGAAGAGGAAGACCTCTGCGCTTTTGGAGGCAACAGGTCAATAGTGACCTGCTTTCACTTAGCATTGACAACTGGCGCCTAACAGCAAAGAGAAACCTTTGTTAATTCGACTATAATCGGGTAAGCTGTACCTACGCCAATTAATTAATTTAATTTAATGATAAAAGTATTTGCGTTATATAATATATAATTGGCGCTATGTAACCGCTGAAGTGATTTTTCGGCCGAGCTCTTCCTACAATTTAAGGCTTTGTGTCTTGGTGTTTTTCCAACAAATGGAGAGCCCTACAGTTTATACTTAGTCGCCTCATAACGGCTGTTGGTTTCTTTACGAGGAGCTTTTGATTTTCATATCAGAAATACACTCGGAGGAGTTGATATTCCCTGCCGAGGGGCGACCGCAATTAGAAAATGTAGCTTAATTTTTTATTTAAATTAATTTTCCATAACTTTTGGCTGTTGGTAGCACCGGGATTTAAACTCGAGCCTTCCGAATGTCAGTACGCAAAGCTAACCACTCGGCTACTGTGGCCGTCATGTCATAAAGGATATTCCTCTCAATATGTCGCTCATACAACAATATTTGTTGGCTCTCCCAAAGTACACAACCCCTGCTCTTTTTCAAAAATCCAATTCTCCCTACTTATTATTCAATCATATTAGACTTTTTGAAGAGAACTTAGTAAATTGCAGCCTTAAGCATGCTTTGCAATAAGCGATATCAAAGCGAATTCCATTTAATGCAATAAAGAGCTCTCTAACTATTTCGTTTCGAAAATTTATATTCAAAATTCAAAATTCAAAATTCCTTTTTGGCAATTCGTTTTAGTTATCAACAATAATCCGAGAAAAGAATAAAAGCAAAATTGTTCGAAATATATTTTTCGAGTACACAAGAAGTGCCTGCCGGTGGATTGACGGTTGGTTGCTTGTCAAAGGTATGCGACAACAACATAACAACATTTTGATACATTTGTTGAGAGGTAAATTGCTATTGTGATGCATGCGTATATACGTATGTATGTATGTGTGTCGAATATGAGACTTATACAGTCATATAACCACAACACACGCACACACAGAGACAACTACATGGACATACATACATAGTATATATAAATAGAAATGCAACTCTGCTTGCTGACTGTCGTCAATGGTTGCCGGAATTGCATGCGTTTACAAAATGAAAATAACTGCAGGCGACAATGTCGACAAAAATACTCTCAATTTGTCGATTTCCTTCTGTGTTTGTGTGCGTGTGCATGTGTGGAAATGTTCGTATACACACATATGCGCATTCTACCATTTGAAATTGAAATGCCCATCGATAAAGTATTTTATGTTGCCCGCACACGTATGTTCTTTCGAGTATGTGTGTATATATGTATTTATGCATGTATGCAGGCATTCTTTTGACTGTTGTGTATGAGTGCGTGTCAACACAATTCACACTATTATGACATCAAGTCAACCGCAACAATCGTAATCCAAAATTCATCATAATATTTCAATTGTGAGAAGTGAATATTGTTTGCTCTCCGCCGCCCGCCTCTCGGGGCATTGCCACACCCAATGTTAAGTGCATTACAAATATTCATGATCACACATACATACGCACATACATATGTACACGCCAGTATGTTGTGGTACCTTTTGTTGTCTGTATATTTGAAACGTTTGGTTGTCGTTGACAATGCAAGTGGCTGCAGTCTGAAAACTGGAGATGAGAAATATTATTTTTCACACCATTCAAATGCCGTGTGCTCACACACACAAATAAACTCATTTCTAACTCAAGATTTGAGCTTTGTAAATGTTGGCCAGTTGACGTTTGTTGTGGGATTGCAAGTTAAAAAAGGATTTCAAAATAAGTAGACAGGGGTTTTGTGTTTGAGAACGGGGTAAGAGATCTTTTGAGCTTGAATCAATCATGAATTATCCGTTTAACCTGCTCAAACTGATTATAGGATTTCGGTGTAATATTCAAATGACTCGCGACTACCAGACTTAGACCAAATGTCCGCTAGGTAGCCAACAAACATTCGTTTGGAGGCAAGCTAAAGTGATAAGGCGAACCCACCGTGGTTGTGTGTGGGGTTTGGAACACACCATATGGAACATCTATATATATAAAATTGGCGCTTTGTAGCCGCTGAAGCGATTTTCGGCCGAGCTCCTTCTCCAAATTGTGGTTTTGCGTCTTGCTGGTTTTCCAACAGATGGAGGACCTATACTAAGCCGCCGCCGAACCGCTTATTTATTTCATGTCAGAAATACACTCAGAAGGGTTGGCATTCCCCGTCGAGAAGCAGCCGAAATTAGAAAATTAAACTTAAGTTGATTTTCTATAACTTTTGGATGTTGGCCGTAACGAAATTTGAACCCGACCCTTCCGAATGACAGTACGCAATGCTAACCACTAAGCTACCGCGACTGCCGAACGCGGATATGAAACATCTGCTCCAATGAATAATCCATTAAACCCTGGGACGTGAGATCCGACTTTTGATGACGAAATCCGCAAATATTTTATTGATCACGATTTGAGTGCTTGCACCTGGAGTGTCCGGACGAATGCGAGTAGGTACTTGTGACATTTATTACAGCGGCCATAAAAAGTAGCGTAAATTTGGAGTCGTGAAATGCACACCAGCGGAGAACGTCTAGCCATAAGCAGCAACAGAGCAAAATCTTTCAACAGCTCGCTAATTTGTTTCCACGTTCCGATGAAAGAGAAGACTATTGTGAACAAGGAAGCTTTATATGAAAGTCTCGAGCATACTAATAAGCGAAAGTAACTTCGGCACAACTGTCAGATCAAGACGAAATATCCCAAAGACATGTCCCCAGTGTTCTTGACGTGCGTACACTCCAATGTGATGCGCACCCGCCTCTGTATATCAAATAACGCCCATCAACAAACTCAAGGAAGCTCCGACGTGGGAAAGCTTCAAGACCTAACGCATACTCATGTAGGAACCAACTTGGAAATTTGGTGACCGCTGTCCATACTCGGTGTATGGAGGTGTAACACTTCTCCAGCCTGCAGAATGGCAGAGAAAATGCAATACCCGAAGAGGGCGAATTCGAAACCACATCCGTTGATGATGGAAAAGATGTCCACTATAACCAGATTCGAATAGCGATTGCCCGTTTAAAGAATAACGAAGCGACTGCAGCCGATAACTTACTAACTGAGTTATTTAAACACGCGGAAGTAGGACTGATAATGTACATGCATCAGCTTCCAATAGTCTGAGTCAATTGTCGTGGTATAAACCTATTAATAATGCCTCTAACTTCCCATAAGATGTATTGTGTGAAAGAGGAAAACACACCGTCAACAAACTGATCGGACCGGTGCGAGTTTAAAGCTGACTTCAACAGCAGGGTAAGGAGCCGCTCCTATGCCGCTATATCTAAAATTAGTTTTCTTGCAAAATGTATAAGACTACATATGTAAACTGATGCTGTACGATGAGTCGAACGTGGTAGTCTGCGACAGAAAAGGTTCTTTGCAACGGTGTACACATGCATAGTTCAGCGAATGCAGACACAGCGACTACACAGGCTAGATTACGTAGTCCGAATGGATAGAACCACTCCAGCATTGATACGTTGATGGAAGCAGCTAGAAGAATCAAGTGGTGAAGCGTGTTATGCATTTTTTGAAGCTGTTTCCCGGCACTCCCTTCGCTTACTTCCCGCGGATAGTTTCCAAAATCCAAGGGCTTCCGTGATTGTTTCGTGTAGGAAAAATCTGACCATTTGCGGAAACATTGCAGAAAGTTCGTCCATAGCTAATCTAAGCGCATTTTCGATTTTTCAGACATCTCAGCAATCACATTTCAAGATATTCCGCTACCGTTGCTCTGTACGATCGCTTGTAAACTCGCGGCAATGTCGTTTGCCTACACTCGTAAGATGCAAACCACATCGCTGCTCATTCGCATTGAGCTTAAAGCCGAAGGACACCATAGAGCTTCGACCAACTCAGTACTTTTTCCGTTTTTTTATTTTAGAGAAAAGTTCAATCTGAAGCGTTCAGATTGTTTT